TCGTCGATACGGGAATAAATACCCAACCAGATAGCTGAAGCAGCCAGTCACAGTTAGTCGACATCGGGCAATGACTCACCAAAGGAGGCGGCAGCCGTATTCCAGTCAAAATGGTTATAATTTGTTAGAAATGAGTGTAGAGTAATAAATTATGCTTTGGACTGTAAAATGTTTTTTTAGGCACAGTATCTCGGCTTGGCATATACTGTTAAGGGATATTATAGATATACAATAAATACAATGTAAGAAGGTGTTCTGCGTGCCGACTCCACTAATCTTCCAAAGGAGGAGATCAATGTTAATGGTTAAATATACTATACATGAGCACGCATTAACATTTATGCTTAAGCTCTGACGCAAACGACACTACAGTGATTCAGAAGTCCTGAAATATGAACGTAATTAGAAATATTCTCTAAATTTTACCAAATAAATGAATTTCTACGTTTTGATTAATTTTAAATTCAAGTCTAAAAAAAATTGTCGATTACGCTCAAATTACAGTTTTAAATGTCTTCAAGGTATATTTTATGTATTGTATACAGTCGCAAAATTAGCAAATTTGCTAGCAGCTGCAGCCGAAATTGACATACTTCTTAACTGGGTGTTTGATAAACGTGCCACTATTCTAAACATAGCAAAACAACGTTTGTAAATATGGCTGTGTGGCTTCGTAGATAATAACAACATTTTCACAGGCGTAATAACGAGAAGGAAATGTCGTCAGGTATGTACATTGACTCAGTCCCTCGCACAACTATTATTTGATGGATGGCAAAACAACCTATGCTGGTTAACCTAAGGTGTATGTGATTATACGTTGCTTTTCTCATCAGCAGAGTTATTTTGTTGACTTATTATTTCATTACCGATGGAAAACCTAAGTCGTTGGAAACCAGTAATTATCGCGATAATGTGAGAATACCATCAGGAGCCAAGTAAATTAACTATGAATTGGTGGCCATCAAAGAGGACCTGTAAGCCGTAAAGAGTGGAAATAGGTTTCAATGGATCAAACATGTTCTGCATTGATTACATCAGACCAAGAGATAGTTACGAAAAATTGAATATATTTTGATATACCCGGAGAGGACGAGTGTTTAGGAGAAATAACATCTATAGTATATTCCATTTTAATAACTGATGTGCAGTGAAGATAATCCCATCATATAATAATCAACAAGCATGAACACCGATTCATATCTCTTAATGTAGGATCATTATGAAACATTGTTGCGGTGGTTTCCCTGCATGGTGAATTAATTTTAAAACAGTTTCCGGGGAGTACGGCCAACCTTGACTGAGCATGAACGGGTCTTGGTCATTAAACTGGCATTTAAAAGATGATATGCATCGATATTGAGACAAAATATGCAATATCTACGTATACAATGGCAAATTGAGTGTGAATATACAACAGTTATAGATTCGAATAAACATATTCCATGCCTGACTTCTTCGATGTTTATAGGAAAAGTTAACTTTTGAGACTTTGCCATGCTACACATATACCTTGGTCATTAAAATAAGTTGACAAGTGTGCGCCTATGCGTTGGTTCAAGGCTCTTTTGTAATACAGCGTTATTAATCTTGAAAATGGACCATAAGAATCGGATGCAAATTAAATTCCGACATGGATGCTGCAAGTTGAGTCCACCCTGTCTGGACATAACTGCTGATCTTTCTATAAATGTAGACATTGCATCTATGCTTTACATTAAAGAAAGTAAGTAAGCATGCGTGTAATGCTGTTAGCATTAGAAGTACCAATTTGGGCTAAAGTATCGTCTAAACGCCCAAAATTGGGATATCAAAATATAATAACGGTATCTCTTTTTTGTACTGCACTTTTAGTTGGTATAGTATAAAATCTCAAAGCAGTCTGAAAGCTGAAAAACAAAAATATACAGGGTGGCCCATCCTTGTGTGCACGGAATATTACTCATACACAAATACATTTTGGGCAAATCTATTTATGGGATGTTATACATGACATTTTAGGGCACATTTCTAAAATATTGGCCAATAAACAGGGTGTCCCAATTTCGACTTACATATCAAAGTTATGATTTTTCAAATGAAATGCTTCAAATTTTATTAAATATTTGGATAAACCAGGTCAAAAGAAGAAAATTGACATAACATACTAGAGAGTTTTGGTAATTAGCTACTGAGATATAAGCTGTTTTGTCTAGAAAAACCCCCCACTTCGGCAACCCCTCAGTCCGCTATTTTGAAATTTGGAGTGCTGAATTTAGTATCAAAAAAAAAACTTACACACCTCAGCTTTTATCATATTTGTTACTTTTTAGAATTTTAATTTTTGCTCATACAGGGTGGTCAAAAACGCAAATTGTAGTTTTTCTCAGAAATTTAAAATGCATCACTCTGTATATTTGTGCAAGTTTAGATGCAATTTCTTATAAGCTTTTTTTTTGATACTAGACACATCCGGGTTTTTACCGCTATTTTGTCGGTTATTATGGAACGGCTTAATTCCCTAAAATATCGCATCATCCTTGAAAACAAATAAATTGTTGATTAGTTACAAACTGTCAAAATTAGCTTTGTGAGAATTATAATAAAAACGTGTTCGAAAATAAATTTTTCTAAAGAAGAAATGGTGAATCTGGAGTTCGTGTTGGGCGAAGCCCAAAGAAATAGTGAGTGAAGACACTACTGTCCTGGGTAAGGTTCTTTTTAGCGATGAGGCAACTTTTAACAGCATAGGTGTTGTCAACAGGCATAACATGCACTATTATGCGACGGAAAACCCTTACTGGTTTAGGCAAATAGATTTCCAAAATAAATGGAGCTTCAATGATTGGGGAGGAGTTATTGGCAGACAAGTTATCGGGCCTTTCTTTTTCGACAACAGATTGACACAGGTACAGAATACTTGAATTTTTTGATCGAGCCCTTGCCTTTGGAGGATATCAACCTGCAAACTTGGATGCATATGTACTGCGGCCTATATCTTGGCCTCCTAGATTACCAGATATGACACCGATATACTTCGTTCTATAAGGCTACGTTTAGCAAGAGGTTTATAGATATCCACCATCTACCTCAGAAAATATGGAGAAAAGGATTAAGGATCCTTTTCTGAACATAAGGGAACAGATTATTCAACATGGTGGAGATATTTTCGAGCAGTTTTTCTAGATTAGGTGTTGAGTAGTGATAGTTGTTTATGTTGTAGTTATATTTGTTTTTCTCTATTACGCTTGAAACTGATTCATACTGTTCGGATTATTAGTCTGTACGTCAAATCTGTACTCTTGCTGGGGCTACATTAGCGGGCTACGGCGAATATTCGGGCTACGGCGATGTGTGTGGCCGGGTACATCGTTACAACGCGGTGTATTCGGGCGAAGACGATGTAACATCGGGTCGCTGTCGGTAAACTAGCACGCATCAAAGGGACTTATCGCGACAATATTCGCATGTCTGGCTACACCTGCGTTACTTCAGGGTCGTCCAGACTTTGAAGCGAGACGGACGTGCGTGTGTTTTGCAGAGATAAAATATATTTGGCCTAGGTGTTTTGTACACTGTACGATGGAGTGGAATAACGAAAAAGTGTTGGAGTTCATTCAGTTTTATGAAACAGAAAATATTATATGGAATCCTAGTAACCCAGACCACAAAAAGAAGCATTTGGTACATGATGCGTGGACGAGAATTCAAAATAGGCTCAGTTGGCCTACCACAATAGAAGAAATGAAGAGGAAAAAAGATTCTTTGATGTCGTACTACAGAGCTCATCTCAATAAAATAAAGAAATCAATGAGGTCAGGCGCTGGCACCGACGACATATATCAAACAAATTGGTTCGCCTTTTCGGCTATGAACAGTTTTCTTCAGCCAATATATGATTGTCGCCGGACTATCGACACACAGGTAAATAATGAAACACGCCTATTTATTATATCTTATATTTATTCACATTCCACAGTGTGACTTCACAAAAATAAAAACATACTTTTAGTCTAAGCAACATGTAGCTTTTTGGGTGAAATCTGAGTATAGTCTCCGAAAATTACGATGAAGGTGTCATTTGATTCGGAAAAATATGTAGAAAGTTTAAGAAAAAATTCGAAAAGGCACTGATAAAAAGTGCAAAAGTTATAAACAATGTAAAAACAAACAAAATGGGAGTTTTGCTTTTTTTGTTGCTTAGACTATTTTTATTGACTGAAAAAATATTGAGCGAACTGGTCCCTGATCTGTGTAGGTAAAAGACCGCTCCGTCTAGCTACCGCTGGAAAAGGGCGCAACGCAGTTTCTTCTTGTTGCTCATTTCTCCATGTACCTGGAACTACTTGTCCATTTGTAATAGTGTCCGCAAAACCTGGTGGTATATATATATTATTTGAAGATGAACTGTTTCTTAAGAAGTTGTGTAGTAATATACAAGACATTACAACATTAGAGGCGCGATCTGGTTGGAGTGCAATCGGCTTCCTAAGTACGCGGAATACCGCAGACATAATTCCAAACACATTTTCTACAACTATACGGGCTTTTGACAGTTGCGTGTTAAATTTTCTTTTAATACTGCCTTCTGGATGATCTCCAGGGTATGGCTTCATGATGTGTGTTTGTAACGGGAACGCGTTGTCCGCTACAAATACAAACGGCATGATGAAATCAGTACCGGGAAGCACCGAAGGAGCTGGTATCTTTAGAGCATTTCTTTCTAATCTTTCGAATAATGCGGTATTTCTAAACACTCCACCATCACTAATTCGCCCTTGGCAACCAATATCTGCATACAGAAACCGATATTTCTTATCTACCAAAGCCATGAGGACAATGCTAAATGTATGTTTATAATTATAAAATTCAGTTCCACTGTGAATGGGTGATAAAATTTGCACGTGTTTTCCATCAATGCTTCCAATACAATGTGGAAAGATATCATGGAACTCAGTTTCTTTTTGTAGCCATTCTTCTTCGTTTGAAGGCATCTGAAACAAATTTTATTATTATTTCAGAATGAAAGTGTACGGGAAGAGCATGCAGAACGTGACGATGAACATGAAGGGATTACAGTTAGTCGTAGTGAAGAAGACTCAACTCCAACTCCTCCGATTAATTCAAACATAACAAATAAGCGAGCGAAAATTGATTTTCCTTCAGAAATATTACATGCGAAGAGACAAATGCAAGAGGCATTTGAGCACGTGAAAGGCAGTGTCAACGACGAATATGAAATGTTTGGGAAACTGATTGCTGCTAAAATAAGAAAACTTAAAAACCCAAATACCAGAGACATTCTTATGAATGATATCCATAGCATGGTTATAAACGCAGGCATGATAGATCGGGTTCACCCAACTCATCCATATCACTCCCAAATCCATTCATCGTTACATCAGAATCAAACCTACCGGTCCCCGACTCATCCATCACCATCTCAGTTACCAAAGAACCACACATATCACTCTTCAAATCAATCATCACCATCTCCATCACCACCGACCCAAACGTACCAGTCTCCGATCCATCCATCGCCATCGCAGAACCAAACCATGCCATCTCAGAAAACATCACAATTCGTTATATCGGAGACTGGTGATATAGTATTCATATGAAAATGTAGTAGTTTTGTAGTTTTTTTTATGGATGGTATACCTTTTTTTTAATAGGAATGAGAATAGAAAAATGTTTATTTTGTTATTAATAATCGAAAAGAAAAACTCCATAAAGGTACATGTTGCTTAGACTATAGGCACTTAGTGAAATAAACTGAACTATGAGTAAAATATTGTATTTTTCTTACCATAACTTCGTCTTTCAAAACGATCAAAATACTTGCACACACTTCATGCAGTGGCGGCTCGTGCCAATTCCGTGAGGTAGTGCCAGAATGGAAGCCATAATTTTGAATCGATTCAAAATTGTAAAGAATAACTTATAACTTACCCCTGATAGTTAGTGGTCAAAGTTCTTGAGGTTCAATAAATCTATATGTCCAAAAAAAAATCAAAAATAAAACTATTTACACACGCGCACCAAATTATAAAACAAGTGTGGAGAAGTACCTATAACTATAGTTTTCTATATATGAGGTCCATTCTTCTTTCTTTTTTGGTAGCAAAGTTTTCGATTACCTTATTATTAAAATATTCAATGCCACTAACAAAATGTTTTTCTGCAGACAGCATTCCTAAAGCACTAAGCCTTTCTTCCTTCATTGTGTTTCTGAGGAAAGTTTTAATCCGTTTCAGCATTGAAAAAGAGCGTTCTGCTTCAGATGTTGACATCGGTATAGTGATTAAAATACTTAAGAGCTTAAGAGTTTCTTGAAACGTACAATTTAATCCTTCCTCGTTCAATAAAATGGATAGTGGAACAGCTCCAGAAGTAGTACTCAATTCTTCTCTCTGATATAATACTTGTAACTCAGTTTTAAGCCTGTTTTTGTCTAAAAATGAAAATTGTGTGCATGTGTCATTTAAATGTGCTTCAGGAAACTGATGTTTATAAACAGAAAACTTTTCACACACAAATAAATTAGAAGCAACTAAATGTCCAGAAAAGTTAAATCTTGTTCTTATTTGCGATAATACTGCATCGCATATTTCTAACGCTTCCCGTTTTTTGCTGCCTTCTTCAACTTGCCTTTTTTTTCTTGCCGGTTCATCAGTTTCTCTCTACACTCGTTCAATCTCGTCAATAATGCTATCCATTTGTTCTCGTATAGTTTGAATTGCTGCTTCAAAATTCTCTAAATCATTTTTGACCTTAACAGAATCGGTGCGTACTTTTTGTAATTGGTTAAAGACAATTTCAACATGTGGCATTATTTTATGGAAAATACTTAGCCAAAATACAAAATTTGTATCTTGCAGCTTTAATTTGTACCCACTGGCTTGATTAATCGACGAAGAATCGCGTGAAGTACTTTCTATATTGTCCATAACTTTAATCAGGTCTTTCCTATTTTCATAAACTGTATGAACACCTCGTGACTGAAAATTCCAACGTGTTTGGGAAGATCTTGGCAATCTGCGATTAACTATTTCATCCAAAATTTTTGTTCTTTGAGGAGACGTCGAAAAAAAAGAGCACAATCCAGATAAATTATGGAAAAATATTCTAGCCTGCTTATTGACAGAGCATGCGCTTGTCATAATTAGATTTAACTGGTGTGCATAGCAATGAACATAATTTGCAAGTGGATAAGTTTCCTTAATAATTTTTTGAACGCCATTCAATTCACCACTCATAACAGACGCACCATCATGGCTTTGAGCTATTAATTTGTTTGGATTTTGATCTAGTAATGGATTTAAAACGCATGCAGCGATTGATTTGGCATCGTGTCCGTCGGGGACGTAAAATCTCCAAAATCTCTCAACTGGTTGTCCTTTACACAAATATCTGAAAATAATAACTAACTGAAATTCACAGGCTACGTCCGTCGTTTCATCGGCAATTACTGCAACAAAAGGAGAATTTGCAATCTCCTTCTTAACTTCTTCATGATAAACATCTAGCATGCACTCAAGAAGCTCGTTTTGAGTTGTTTTTGAGCTACCCTCAAAAAGTTTGGCACTTTGAATATGGACTTTCAATTCGTTGTCTAATTCGGCGCTAAAATTCACCAGCTCCTTAAATATGCCTCTGTTTTCCGAATTTTCCTTTTCATCATGACCCCTTAAGGCTAACTCAAATGCTCCACAAAACCTTATACAATTAATAATTTTATTCAATACATATCGATTCTTATCCACTTGATTATTATGTTTAATTAGATCATTGCGATAAGCCGAATTGAGTTGAGTCCTTATATTTAATTTACCAAGAATAGAAAAGCTAAAAACATTATTCATATGGACTTTAGATTTTTCGTGGGTCTTCATTTTATCCCATATATGTATAAGATCGTCTGTACCTTTTTTTGGCCAAGTCTCGTCACCTCCAAATAGAACACATACAAAACAAAATAGTTTATTCGTTTCTTCACAACCACATATACAGCTGTTTTTATCATACACATTTTTATTAAATTTGCGACAGCGCGATTTTTGTCCGCTACCACTTTGTTTCTCAATTTTTAAATCGGGTATTGGCCGTCCTAATTCTTTAATTTGCAGTTTTTGATCCAGCGAAAAACCACTAAGTGAGTTTTTTAATATCCCGATTTTATTCATTTTCACTAGTTTTAATAAAACAGTAAAAAATATGATCACAAAACAGAGCAGTTCATTAACACTAGACGTACAAAAACAAAAACGTTATTTCTCACTTTTCAGGTAAAAAAAGACCGAAATCAGCACTAGACGTAATCATAACCAAACGACCGACCGAACAAAAACACCGCCGATATCATTTGATAACGAATTACGACTGATGATGTGCCTGGCACAAATTATACTTGTCTTTCGCTATTCACCTCATATAAACATGTCATGCGTAGCGTTATCTCTGTCGCTCGTATGCGATGCTGGTAAAATTTCTCTCTTTTTATTTGGACCGGCCCTAAATTGGCACAAGTTGATGACGCCAAGGTCAAGGCATGCTCGTCTCGTCGCGTCGGTCGGGTGCTTGCGGTGTTGTCACGTTGTCAGTGTTGTCACTTCATATAATTTATACCAAAAAAAATGAAAAAGCAGAAAATAAAGTAAAACATTGAAGATTGAAAAAAATATTCTTTTTGAAGAAGACAAGGTAGTGCCATGGCACCGTGGCACTACCTCACGAGCCGCCACTGACTTCATGTACTATTTTGGAAATGAGTTGATGAGATATTTTGAAAAGATAATGAAGGCTTCGAAAATCATCTCCTGTCGCCAGATAACGTAGTGTTATTGCCAATCGCACTTTTGCAGGAATTGCTTTTCTGAATTTTGTATCTTTTTTGGTGATTAGTGGTGCGAGCTTTTGTAGTAGTATTTCAAAGTCAGATGTCGACATACGTAAAAATCCAGGGAATTCTATACCGGACTCTGCGGTTAGCTCAGATAACAAACGTTCCATTCCTGTTCTGTAAATAAGAAAAAAATGTAAACATTATTATTATATACTCACACCACTTAAGGTCTAATGCAGAAAAAGGCAAAATAGAAACATTATATCAAGTATTATTTTAGCGTGACGTGTTGTAAAAATTGTGCTGCACACTTACATCGTTCGGTTTCTATGAATAGTAGTCATCCACCATCTCCTCCTTCTTCTCTTATTCATATTACTTTGTACCTGATACCCGTACAAGTGTAATAAATAATAATAATTTACTGACATATAATGCAACGCTACTGCTTCCTCCATATTTTCGTCCGCACGGCTAAACAACACACAAACGAATAATCGTCGCAGTCCGTTATATGAATCTTCGCCGCTAAATGTAGACAAGAACATCGTGTATGCCCGATACACGATGTTTTTCGCGCCAACACGACACGAATCTTCGCCCGCTAATGTAGCCCCACCATTAGTGGCAATATAGAACTAGCCCGCTATTTGTCTTTTGTTTCCATGGATGATGTGATTTTTTTTCCTTAATTTTGGTTTGTTGTTAAAAGATTAATAACTCAAAATCTAGTGATTTTATCTGAATCAAACCTTATACAAAAAAACCTTATAAAAAATTGAATCCAAACTTGCACAAATATACAGGGTGATGCATTTGAAATTTTTGAGAAAAAGTACAATTCGCGTTTTTGACCACCCTGTATGAGCAAAAATGAAAATTCGTAAAAGTAACAAATAAGATAAAAGCTGAGGTGTGTAGGTTTTTTTGATACAAAATTCAGCACTCCAAATTTCAAAATGACTGATTGAGGGGTTGCCGAAGAATAGTATGTTACATCAATCTTCTTCTTTTGAATTGGTTTATCCAAATATGCAATAAAATTCCATTTAAAAAAACACAATTTTGATATGTAGGTCAAAATTGGGACATGCCATAAATAGATTTTCCCTAAATGTATTAGTTGATGAGTAATATTCGTCCATACATGGAGGGGCTACCCTGTATAATTATATTCAAGTTCCTGCACTTTCCATTGAAGGATCTTAAACAATCTTAATTCACCATTAAAAGTATTTAAAAGCAGTTTTTGCATCAAATACATGCTTTCATTGAAGGGGAAGTTCGGTGAATTATGTCCTCGGTCCAGAACAACAAAGTGACAACGTTATAGTCTCCCATAGACTATGCTCATATAAAATAGAGAAAACGAACAAGTTATAGCTTTATTTCTGAAAATTCAATAAATTCAAACAGCATTTTCCTCTGCTTAAAACAAAAAGATTCAGATTAAACGGCTGGATAGTATTTTTTTATATTCTGCCATTTGTTTGTGTGCTTGTTTTTAATCATATGTTCTGGTTACTTATACTGGATCTGTTTTGACAAATGTAAATATTATTGTTACTGCTTTCATTGTTTATTTTATTTTCAAGCGCTATTTCTCAATTATCTATGTATAATTCATTACGAATGGTTTCTCAACTTCGGACGTCCCTCTCAATGCTCTTTTTCCAGTTCTACGAACCTTACGCAGTTCAAAAATCAGTTAACAAAATTTCTTTGGGATCTTCATTGCGGTCGCGGTGTTCTGGCATTTAGGTTTCTGCTTGCGCGGCTGCGTCCAAACATCCTACCAAAAGCAGGACAAGCCAGATACAAAAACCAAACATGTGCGGCACCCCCTCGCTCCTCTCTAAATCCGCTCTAGGTTCGAATGATTGCTGACACTTGCTTAAGGCATGGGAGCAATGCTCTGGTGACAGGAATATCCGCTAGATCTCAGGACAGGTTCGAAATGATAATAAAAGTTTTGTACATGCCCAGTTGTACATGGCATAC